GCCCAGAGTCTGTTCTCTAGGCTTCAGCATATCTGGTAAATTTTAGGGGGCAGAATGATCAGAGCTGCATTTCAGAGCTCCAGTTCTATAAGTCACAAGTGGTAACCAGTCTTCATTGTCTGTCATTTTGTCCAGGAGCACAATGACACAGTAGAAGAGGAGCAGGGGTGGATCTTCTTTGTCTACTTTATTCCCATAGAGCCGGGGTGGAGCTCAATGGCAAAGCACTTGCAGAGCACGTTGTGCTCGGCTCTGGGTCCCGTTCCCAGAATCACACACTAAACTAACAAAGCCAATGCTAAGCCTATTTTTAAAAATACAGTAACACTACATTTGAATGGAATAAGTCAAAACTCCACTTGACTAGGAAGTCTGACATGGGAATTGACTGAAGAGGGTTTTCTAGAATTAGAATATTTTATAAGATGAGGATTAAAAAATGACACAATTAAAAAAATAACTTCAAGTGAACTCAACGTATACATCAAATGAATATATCTGAACTGTAAAATCCCTTACAGCTTACCCTACTCTTAAAAAATTATCTTCTCTACATTTTTTCCACTCAAACAGCTCTTAGAGTAAGTTTACTACTTCTCTATGTAAATGGTCCTACCTTAATCACTGAAAAACATGTGATCTAAATCCAAGAAGCATCATAGACAGACTGTTAAAGAGTTCTTCCTAAAAAGAATGAATAGCTGAGACTACTGTTATGATTACCACCTAGTTCATTCCCCTCACTCAGGATTCCTAGTTTTAATTAAAGGGGTACTCTCAACATCGACACCACACGGTAGCAAGGGGCGCCAGCCTGCAGTAGCCACTAAGTCACGCTCTCACACAGAAGTATCTCAACACAAGGGAGGCTTGAAATATTCAGGTGCAGGTTTTCCTACACTTGAATTTTCTTATGTTCACAAACAAGGCAAGACACATCACCGTGCACAACAGTACCAGCGACTTTCAGCCACAGCATCCAAATAGGAAGTCAGCCAGCAGACAACTTTGCAGCCAAGCAAGGTCCTAAACAAAAAGTCTCCTTTGTACAAAGAAAAATGTTCCACTTTCAAAAAAAAAAAAAATTTTTTTTTGTTTTTTTAGAAAAAGGCTGTAACTGGCAAAATGTTTTCCTCAATGCTTGCCCCAAAGTTCAATGTTGTAACTTTCTATTCCAGACACCCACTACATCAGTCAAACTGAGCACAAATGCCCACAGTGCAGTTCCACTTCCAATCCTCAATGGTAGATGGAGCCCCTCTTTCCAATCTTATTTCCATCTACTTAAAACAAAATAAAAAAAACCAAAACATTTTTCTAAAGAAAATCAAAGTATTTTTCAGATCTACTCTCTTCAAAGCCAAAACCAAATTTCAATTTGATTTTGTGTTTAATGGAGGGTCTCTCCCAAAAATGATTGCATATTAGACCACTAATAATGGGAATATGGTTAAAGTTCTATCGCTTTTGCTCTCGTGTTTTGTTTGTTTTTGCTCTCATGGTTTTAATATCAACTTCAATATAACATCCTTTAAAAAGTTTCTAAATCCTAAATACAGCTATTTATCTGATCGTCTGTGTCACATGGGCAGCAGTTATACGCAGGGGCTTCGGAGTCCTTGGTCTGTGTGACCCTGAGCCAGGCATCTCTCCATTCTAAAGCCAGGTTGCTCCACTGAGCTGGTACCTTCCCTCTACCACTGGCTGTGAGGATCAAGGATCTGCATCAAATACTAACATGGTAAAAGCTCACTAAAAATTTTTGTTGTTGTAAAAGTATCCACATACACTATGTCTGCCAATGCCTTTATGTGTCTTATAACACACAGGAAGTCACCATTAAAATTCATTCTTCATTTCTGAAAGGCTTAGGGAGTGCCTGAAGTTTAGTTCTGCCTGTGGAAAAAGGAGCCCAGAGGCAGAAGACTACAAGGGTCTACTCCAGAGCACAAGTTAATTAAGAAACTGATTATTCCATTGACATATTAACTATATTTATTAAAAAGCTTGGGGGCTGGGGATTTAGCTTAGTGGTAGAGTGCTTGCCTAGCAAGCACAAGGCCCTGGGTTCAGTCCTCAGCTCTGGGGGGGGAAAAAAAAAGCTTGACTTCCAAGGTATGCAGTATGTCTTTCATAAAAGTTAATAAACATAATTTTGGAAAAACATTTTTACTCAATTCAAATTAATGACGTCTTTTTTTTTTCTTTTTGATAAATGTCCCTCCCTGAAACCTGATAATGGTAAATAGATAATCTGTATTTCCGTATTAAAAATATAAAACAATTTTTGTTGTTGTATGCTGAGGATTGAACCTAGGTCCTTAATATATGACAATTACTGAGCTACAATCCCAGCCCACAAATCATTCTTAAATCTAAAAATGTTCTACTTAATGATGGCTACAGTTTGGATAGATAAAAGTAGTGTGTTTTCTCCAAAACTAAAGGGCCAAGGGATGCAGAAAAGATTAGTCGGGTTAGTGACAGTTATGGACTCCAGGTTCCTGCTGGTGGCAGCACTCAGAAGAGCCTCTGTGAGACAGAACTGCTTCTAATCCCAGGGCTTCGATAACCAAACATACCAACTTCCTCTCCTTATTTTTAAAGGCAGACTAGAAGCTTCCAATATTGGCTACCCTAGAGCACAACTAATCATCTACCAAGCGCTTCTTTACACGATAAACAGGCTGGCCTCCAGACTGGCGGAGCTCCCCTGGACTGATTTTTAGATACTGGTTTTTTTGTTTTGTTTTGTAAGGGAACTGCTACTAATGAGGCTGGGCTGGAACACTGTGAGGGATAAAGCACCATTAACTGCCTTTACAGTAAGACTATTCTGAATCTGCATGAGTCAAAATAAAATTCTTTGATAAGCAAAAAGTAAATATGTATTTCAAAGGTCATGATTTGGCTTATAAGATAGCAGAATAATGAATTTACTTATCTTAGTATCATATAATTATGGCTACCATAAAGGAGTTAGGGGCTCTAATGTTATCAGTCTGATTAAAACATTTCATAAGATTTTTATTCTTTTCAAATTAAAAAAATATTTCTATTTATTTTATGAACACAAGTGTTTTATGTGCCTATATGTAAGTTCACTTCATGCCTGCCTGGTGCCTGTGGGAACAGAAGCCACTGGATCCCCCAGAACAGGATTTACAGATGGTTTATAAATTGCCACATGGGTGCTGGGAACTGAACCCTGGTCCTCTGCAAGAGCAGCTAGTACTCTTAACCACTGAGCCATCTCTCTCCAGACTACTTTTTAATTTTTGCAGTGCTGGGTGTCTAACTCAGGGCCTCACATATACTAGTCAAGTGTCCTCAATTGAGCTGCATCCCCAGTGCTGTGTTTTTATTATTATAAGGTCAGTCTTCCTAATGAACCAGCAGCCAACCTGTAGAAAACCCCAGCTACAACAATGAACACTTTATACAGAACTTTTGAGATGTACTAGTGACTTTAATTATAGATGCCCCTCCCCCCACCCCCAGCACTCAGTTGATGCTGGGGCTGAACCCAGGGACTTGTGCATGGAAGGCAAGTGTTCTATCACTGAGCCATAACAGTCTTATCATTTTATCTTTAAAAACTAAGAGTTTCCCACTGACCTGTATTTGGGTTTAGTAGCACAGTACAAATGGAGTGCACTTTACTAGCAGCATTAATCAACAAAGCACACAGCACACTCTCACATTCTTGGTAGAACTGCCAAGAAGATGCCTTCCCCTGGTAGACATTTTTTTTTTTTTCTGACTAGGTGGATCTTGCTGTGCAATCCTGGCTGGCTTGGAACTCTCAGGTGACCTTCCTGCCTCTGCCTTCAGAGTCCTAGGATTATAGGTGTGAGCTACCACACTTGGATTTTTTTTTTTTAAGTCACAAGCTTAATCTCTGGGATAAGGAGCCTTAGCTGCTACAAGTCAACTGACTTGTTCAATATTCCTAAGGATCAGAAAGCAGCCTCGATGTTGGAATGAACTTCAGTCAGACTGACATTAAAAATCCTGTAGCTAGGCTGTTACTTGGTAGGTCAGTGGAAGTGTACTGCTTTCTAAAGCCACTGCCCTCTATATCAATTACATACATTCAAATTAATAGGTTAAGTGCATGCTGGGATTGAGAAGTCCCAAACCCTACAGGCAAGCTTTAAAACATTTTAAGATTTATTTTAATTATGTGTCTCTGTGGGGGAGTGGGGTGGTATACTCATGTACAGTGTAGTGCCTGTGGAAGCAGGAAGGGGGCACTGGATCCCCTGAAGTTAGAAATACAGTAACTCACCCAACATAATTGCTGGTAATCAAATTTAGGGCCTCTGGAAAGGCAGCAGGAGCTTTTATCTTAACTGCTGAGCTACCATTTCCAATGCAATATACGTTTAACTCTGTGTGTGTGTGTGTGTGTGTGTGTGTGTGTGTGTGTGTGTGTGTGTGTGACACATCAGAGGACAACCTATGGAAATTGATTCTCTCCTTCTACCATGTGGTCCTGAAGACTGAACTCAGAATATTAGGCCAGGTGGAAGACATCTTAACCTGCTGAGACATCTCACTGGCCCAAGTTTTTAATTTTTTTTATGATTTTTAAAAAATTTTATATTCATTGGTCTTTTGCCTGCCTGTATGTCTATGTGAGGGTGTTGGATCCCCTGGAACTGGAACTACAAACAGTTATGAGCTGCTATGTGGGTGCTGGGAACTGAATCCAGGTCCTCTGGAAGAGCAGCCAGTGCTCTTAACCACTAAGCCATCTCTCCAGCCCTAGTTTTTAATTTTTAATAGTCAAAACTACATCTAAAGCTTATGCTGTATTAAATGGTTCGCTCAGCCTCATTTGAGACCTACCTTAAGTAGCAAAAGGATGGGCTAGTCACTATTTTCCATTTTAAGAGATATGGAGGCAATAAAAAATTTCCATCTCATCCTCAGTTACAGCCTCTTTCTTAACATTTTTCTTATGTTAATGTGCAAAAAAAAAGTTACGGACTTGCCTTGTGAGGTCGAAAATATAGATACAGGCTGAGAGGAAGAGGAAGAAACAAAGGAATCTGAAAGAAAATATACAGCATAAAAGTTTGACAACCTTACACAGGAATCTTAACTTCAACTTTCTTTTTCTGGAGGTTTATTTAGCCAAGGGAAGACTCAACTTTATTCCAATGACTGTTTTCACTCACCTGCCAGCGACACCTCATTTCACTTCCAAGATGCACTTCTAAAAGTTTACCAAGTCAATCTCTTTTAGACAAACATTATCACTTCAGGAGAAAAGAGGAAGTCCTACCATTTCACAACAGCTACAACCTCAAGAGCAGATGCACCTCTGCTACCTTCTGGCAAAGTAATTTCTAAGTACTAATTGCCACTTGCTTTAAATAGTTTCCAACTACATTTTGAAGCATTAAGTCACTAACATGACCAAGGCAGGTAGATCTCTTTGAGTTCGAGACCAGCATAGTCTACAAAGCAAGTTTCAGGATAGCCAGCACTGTTACATAGAGAAACCCTGTCTCGCAAAACAAACAAACAAACAAACAAGATAAGCACTTAGAACTTAGCTGGGTGGTGCTGATGCATGCCTTTAAATCCAGCAATCGGCAGGCAGAAGCAGGCAAATCTCTGAGTTCCAGGCCAGCCTGGTCTACAGATCGAGTTCCAGAACAGCCAGGGCTACACAGAGAAACCCTGTCTCAAAAAGCAAATAACAAGAAAAGAAAAACAACAACAACAACAACAACAAAACCTGGCAAAACCTGACCCTCGATACTTTAAAAACAAAATCACAATTCATTGAAAAATAGAGCTAACATGAGAAATCTTTCATCTTTGAAAAATCACAATCCTCCAATCTGTCAGCATATAAAAATTGTAACATACACATAACATCCTCTTTTTATCTGTTCAATAAATATATCCTTTAACTAAGCAGTTAATGCTTCCAGGAATCCATCCTACAAACAAGGCACGTATATGTACAAGGACATGTATGTAAGGATATCCAGTAAGGGTGCTGGTTTTAAGTACTAGAAATAATGTAAATGTCCACCAACAACGGATGACTAGTTAGAAAACAACATCTAAGCCTGGAGGTGTTCCCATTTGTTCAGTGCAACAGAAGGGACTAGCAGAAGGGATTAATGGTCTGGGTGAAACCCAAAATGATAATGAAGGTCTGTAACTCCAGCATTTGGGAATTAAATGCAAGAGGGTCACTTTGAAGGCAGCCTGGGATACATGAAAGTCTGTCACCTCTGTCTCTGTGTCTCTTTCCTACACACCTTAGAGCCGTGCATGGCAGCACACCTTTTAATCCCAGCATTCAACAGGCAGAGGCAAAAGCAGGCAAATAGATCTTTTTGAGTTGAGGCCAGCCTGGTCTACATAGAGAGCTCTAGGCCAGCAGAGTTAACTAGTGAGACCCTGTTTCCAGAAAAGAAAAAAGAAAAAAAGAAAAGGGAAGAAAAGGAAATGAAAGGAAAAAGAGAAATAGGAGAAGTTATTGTCTGGGATAGAAGGAAGATTTTGCTTTTTGGCACTTAAGAAAACATGATCTTTTCAATAAAAATAAAATATTAAAAAAAAAGTCTCCTGAGATAGCAGAATGGTTCATCAGTGCTTGCCACCAAGCTTGATAATTTAAATTCAGTATCAGGGCTCACACATAATATGAGATAACTGACTTCCACAAGTTTACCTCTGATCTCCATACAAACACTGTGGCACGCATGCACCCATATAAATAGACATACAAAATAAATGTTAAAAAATCACATGAAAAATAAAACATTCCCCAAAATGTCCTAAATATACAAAACATTATGCATGAACTCCTTTTCTTCAAATTATAAAAATGTTTTCACAAATATTCACAAATTTTACTTAAAACCAGAAAATTGCTTTAAATAACTAAGCCATAATAGTTATCTGTAAGTATTAATCTAGGAGAATTATTTTGTAACAAATGTTATTCTTAGCCACTTCTGGAGTCACATGACTGCGCATGTGCTGTCAGCAATCAGGCAAAATGCTTAGTCACCCCAGGGCCCTACGTCCTATGTAATCCTTACGCAATGTGATCACATCATCTATGTGCCTGCATGGTGTAGCTACAGAAGCCTATATACGCATGCGCGAGGTGACCTATAATGGCAGGCTCCACCCATTCCCCACTCTCTCTCTCCCCCATGCCCCCACCCTGCACCTTTCTTTTCTGTAGGCCTACCAACTTCGACCCTTTACCTTCCCTAATAAAAACTCTAAGAGTGGCTTCCATTGCACCTGTGTTTTCTCAAGCCGGTAAATAATACCGACAAATAACAACAAATACAGAACACATTAAATCAAGGAAGTTGGGAGGCAGAGGTAGGTGAATCTCTGTGAGTTCAAGGCCAGCCTGGTCTACAGAGTGAGTTCCAGGACAGTCAGGAATGTTACCCAGAGAAGCCATGTCTCGAACAATTTAAAATAAAATAAAAATCAAGGCAGAATTTGGTGGGGATCAAATAGTCACTCATTAATTCAAGACCAGAATTTGAAATTCACTTTCAAGTTGCTTTAAGATGAATCATCACATACATTCTTAAACATAAGAACCATTCTTGCTCTTTTTTAAATGCCTTATTATTTTAAATTATTGTATATCTATGTGTGGACATGTACACGAGTTCAAGTGCATGCAGAGTCTAGAAGGGGGCATTAGATCCTCTAGCACTAAAGTTATAAGCAGTTGTGAGCCACTGAGTGTGGGTGCTGGGAACCGACTCTGCAAGGGCAGAATATACCCTTAAGCTCCTAGCCATCTCTCCAGCCTCTCCCCCTTTTTAAAGGAAAATCCTTACTATCTCTTGTTCAGTGTTTCCAGATGGGTTCATTTCTACATGCAATTACCATCAACATTAAATCTATCAACCGATCAGTTTAAATCTAAACAGTCAGGTGTGGTGGCACACACCTACAACCCTAGAATTCAGAAGGCTAAGGTAGGAGATTGTGGGTTTAAGGACAGACAGCCTGGGCTACATAGTAAGACCCTGTCTCAAAGAATACACAAAAACAAAATGTGAATGTATCTGACAAACCTGGTTGGGGAGGGCTCTCCTTTAAGTAAACCCAATGCCTAAATAAGTAAATAAATAAATGAAGCCAGCCAGTCCTATGTACCTGCCAGCTGTCCGCCTGTTCATTTCTACTTATACCCCCCACCCAGTGGAAAATTCTACCCTGCCAATTTGTATGCATAGCATCTGTTCCGATAGAGAAGAGAGATAACCAGCAGTTTGCAACAATATTGTATGAGGTTTCTAACTTACAAAAACCACATGACATTCCTACTCTATCTACCCTACAGAAGTGAACTCTAGAATGGTGATCTTAATCCTCCAATACAAGCGAAATGTAAGAGCCATCAAACTAGTGTGAGTTGTTGGAATAAACAGAGACCGCCACTGGGGTAAATGAAGATCATCCCAGAAGGCTTTGCCATCTTTGTAGGTGAACAAGCACCAGGGGATAGGGTGGGAAGATGAGGGTGGGGTGGGGGCAGGTATTCTGGAGAGAAGGAACTGGGCCTTTACATATCTAAATGATACACTTTGTACAGTGAGGAATCACTAAAGGGTGTGACACTATCATATATAAGTGTTTTTGGGGGGAGACTGTTTTGTTTGGAGACAGGGTTTCACTATGCATCCTTCGAGAGTGCTGGGTTCACAACCATGTGCATTACACCCAGCTTTCACACATTTTAAAAAGAACTCAGATCTTGGCTGGGCATGGTGGCACATACCTTTAATCCCAGCACTCAGGAGGCAGAGGCAGGCCAGCCTGTTCTACAAAGCGAGTTCCAGGACAGCCAGGGCTATCCAGAGAAACCCTGTCTTGAAAAAACAAAACAAACAAAAAGTGAAAAAAAGAACTCAGATGTCTACTAAATTGGAAAGCTCCTGCATAAAGTCAGGCATGATGGGCTAGAAAGATGGCTCAGTGGTTAAGAGCACCAGCTACTCTTCCAAAGGTCCGGAGTTCAATTCCCAGCACCCACGTGGTGGCTCACAACCATCTGTAATGGGATCTGATTCCTTCTTATGGCATACATGAAGACAGAGCACTCATATACATAAATAAAGTCAGGAATGATGGTACACACCTATAATCCCAGTACAAAATAGAAAAAAAAAAATCACCACCTCAGCAAGACTGAATGGAGACAACTTGGAATCTTCTGATTGGATGCTAAAAACTAGAGAAATAATAGTCAAAGATAACCAAGGAAGTGGGAGTGGTGGTGGTACACACGTGTAATGCTGGTACTTGGAAAGCAGAGACAGGAAGATCACTGTAAGTTTGAGGCCAATCAGGATGACACAGTGTGACCTTGTCTAAAAGGAGGAAGGAAAGGAAGGAAAAGGAAAAAGAAAAGTGAAGGACTCAATGTCATTTGTGAACACAAGAGATAGCTTATAGTATTCTTCCTTATTCATTTATATTCTGTCTCTCTTTTTTTTTTTTTTTTAGGTTTTTCGAGACAGGGTTTCTCTGTGTAGCTTTGCAGCCCAGGCTGGCCTTGAACTCACAGAGATCCGCCTGGCTCTGCCTCCCAAGTACTGGGATTAAAGGCGTGCGCCACCACCGCCCGGCTATATTCTGTCTCTTTTAAGGTTTAAAAGAGGGTCTTACTGTGCATCTCAATTAGTCTGGAACTTAATGTAGTTTGGAAATCAGTATGTAATCAAGGCTAGATTCAAACTGGTGATGCTCCTGCTTCAGACTCTCAAGTGCTGGGATTACAGGCATGCGCCACGACCACTGGCTTATATGGTGCTGGAGACTGAACAAAGACAGAGCTTTGTGCATCCTAGCCAAGCATTTTTATCAACTGAGCTATGTCCCCAGACCCAAGGCCCTCTTCATGAGTCAAGAACACATGCAGGATGTCACATTTTGTCATTATCAGTCCCTTAACTTGCAGAAGATGACAGCTTCTCAGACTTTTCTGGCTTTATGATCTTGAATGAGTGTGTGTGTGGTGTTGGTTTGTATTAAGTATGCA